ATCATGGCTTATGCCTGATGTCCAGTTAGAGTACTCCTGTTCCGATCGCTCTGTTAAAAACACTGACTCTGTGCCAAATACCCAACATACAATACGTATCAACCGTCCTCAAATAGCTCGAGTGATTCATAATCTTTTTTTACTCCCATCGACACCAGAAACAAATTAATAGAAGTATGTATTCCTTTTATCAAACCATCTGTATCCATAATTGCCTTACCGATATAGTTCAATATTCCCTCCGTTTTAAAACGGAAATCATGGGCAGCCGTTTCAATACATCATGAACTACCGTATCAAAGAATGTGGGGCAGATTTTACACATTTTCTACTTGGTCTGAATAGATTTCTCATCCATCATCCTCATTTCATCTTTCTGCTTATCTGCGGCATTAATTCAGCACTCCTGTCACCACTTTTCTCTCTTGTCACGAATTAAGCCACCCCATATGAATAAATAAAACCAAGAAACTTTTAAACTAAAACGCCGTTGAACCTTCGTTACCAACAGACTTTTATGGGAAAGCTTAACCGTGCAGAGCGGCGATAAAGCTACAAATGAGTTGTTTCCATTTTTACCACCACCAAATACAGAACACTCTACATTTCCGGCAAAGACTCCTAACCTCCTCTGTAAAGTGTGAGATACTTTACTCACCTTCCACTTTCCCAGATATTACTTACACCCCCTATCTTACCACTATGCTGCCAGTTTTAAAGTGAAAATTTTTGCGATCTAGTGTCCCATCACATAGTCTTTAAAGAACTGTCGTCTACTCATTATCCACCTGGTTTTCTATGGAGGAAAATGTTTGTAGCTCAGGTACGGTAGACGGTCGTTGGCTTTTTCGCTGAACTGGGCAATTCGCTTGCAAATGTTTCATCACCAATCGAGGTGACAGCACGAGTGCGTAATTGGGGAGCGTAGTGGTGCGTGGCAGTAGGTTAGTGGTTGTGCACAACCAGGACTATCCAAGCTAACGACAATTCGCCTGGTACCCATCCTAATCTTTCCTCATTGTTGGTGGCGATATTCAAATACACTTATTTGGCGATTGCAGCCTTAACTTGACCAAGTCGATTCAGGGTTTCTTGGAATGAATCTTTTATGTGGTCGAATCTCGAATTGTACACAGCTCAATACGTAAAATACTAGGACAGACAACCAATGAAAAGTATTCATTTACTGTCGACTTCGCTTGACAATGGCGCAGAAGGATTCAAAGGATGAAGATCAGTATAGATTGAACCTGTTAGCCAGGGCTTTCTACCGGTCCTGGGTTTTGAAATGTATCCAGTGGAGTCATTATTCTACCTCTTTCTAGACGGTCTTGAGTCCTAATCAAATGCATGACCTCACACTTCATGGCTTAGTTTGAACCCCTCAGTTAACATGACGCAGCCAACAGATGAATCCAGAAGAACAGTTTCTCTACACGTTTGGTAATCTGCTACCTCAAAATTTTGATATGCGTTGACGTGGTGGATTTGAATTTCACGCACTTTCAGCTGCGAAATCAACAACCCTGCTTTTTGTCGTGGATTTGTTAACTATTTCTTGGTCCTCTGAAATTAAAAGTTCAGGTGACGGTTTGTCAGGAGAAAACTAGTCAGATCCTGAAAGAATTGGTGAGCTTGATTTGAGTCAGTATGGGGTAATGATATCTTTCTTGTTATTTTTCTTCAAGCGTTTGCTTCGCATTGCTCAACCTTTGACATCTTGTCGGGTACCGGGGGACATCCTAAGGACATTCTTCGCAAGCTGCAGAAAACTCCCAAAATAATAGATGTTAGGCTGGACAGTTGTCTTATCAGTCCTTCACAATTTATTCAATCTATGGTTCTGAACCCAAGGTTCTTCTACGATTCTGGTTGCAGTTCATTTAGAGGCGCTTCAGTTCCTGACTTCTCATTCTGTTTTGCTCACTACCTTTTGTTTGCAGTTTAAAGCTGTTAGGTCCCGTATCCACCAATTTTGGAGGTTCTCCATGACAGACCAAAACAAAAATAAATGCATGAATGTGCATCCAAAGGAAAAGTAAATATCAAAAATATTTTCATATCGGTAGTAGCGGTTGGATGAAGACTTCCGTTGACGTCATTCTGAGCTGTTCAGTGCTGCAAAAGGAAAGAGGTCTATTAGTTCCAATTTTGACCGAAACAATCTATGGTTCCTTTCTTAAATATGGGCGAAATTTGAGGGACAAATATAAGCTCCAAAAAACGCTTAAGTTTATTGAACTTTCGGGGTAACTATTGGAATCTAGGTGCTTTACGACCGACCACTGGTGGAGTGACCTGCGAATTAGCGAGGAACTGCTGTGTCGAAAATGACAAGTGTGTAAGAGCACGCTGATAAGACTAGCTGGAGAAAATGGCGCAAAATTCAGCTGTTAAGTGGGGACCTCTTGTGTTGTTGTGTTTATACAACATTTTAGGGCTATTTGTTTTCTCTTATTACCCAACTAGCCAATCAAATTAGGAGATGACATAAATGCACTCAGGAGAGCAGGAGGAACCCACCAAACTGCGTACCGATGATGTCCCCACTTGTAGCGACAAAACGTTTGCATGTCAATTGCCAGGCTCGGTGAGCAGATCAGTAGCCACCTGATTAATAACCGATAAGCTCACCCGAGCCACCAATATTTAGACACATTACGGATCCTGCGCGTTTCGAAATCCTATGGGGGGTATGGTGAATTTAAATAAAGTTGGATAGACTATCTTTCGAAGTAGGTCATATTTTTTCCTCTATGATCTAGGTGTTTATGTCGCAAATTTTCGTTATATCGCTACTTCTGTATAGGTATCTTTGTTCTGCGTATTAAAAGACAAGACATGTAAAATTCTTGCTGTTCTGCTCAATCACCACTGAATGCCCACAGTAGTGCACAAAGTGTACTTGAAAGATATGTTTTGTGGATGCTTTTTTTGTCTTAGTCACTGACAAACAGGATGGTCATTTCGGTTGAACTAAACGCCTGAAACAAACAGTTTGTGACTAGGTAACTGAATGTTGCATGCCTGCAGCGCTTCCTCTCTAAATCAGGTGCAACTAGGAGGTTGCTTGTTCTATGATTTCTGAAATTGTGGTTGATACTTCATCGGGTGATATAAATGAAGACAATTTCTTTGTTCATGAATGTCATTTTTCATTTCTTGTTGTTAAATCGAGAGTTTGCCACCACTTTGTATGATTACTACACATGCAAGCGGGTATCCTGTGCACTCTGTGTTTTGAGATGTTGATTGTTAAACATTTCATAAAAAAACATCTAATTTTCTGAGCTGAATATTCCTAGCCTTAGCCACTAAGTCAACCACATTATCGAAACGTGATGCCAAGGGTCTATGCAACTTTTAACTTGCTCTCCAACTCGACTGTTCCATTGCGGTGAACTGTATTTTGCTCTAATCGGATTCCACCTGCTGGTCATTCATAAAACTAAATCTTGACACCACGTGCGGATAAGTCCTTCGTTCCGATATATCAGACGTCAAGGCGGATAAGCGCCATCCACCTTGTTTCGCGCTGAAGTAATACGAAGCGGTCGCTGACACCAGAGAATCCAATTTTGATTCAAACTGTGCGACTGCGATTAACAGCGCTTGATGGTCTGATGAAGCAGATAACCAGATTACTGCTTGTTTGTCTATACTACAAGACTATTTTCATTAAGTTAATTAATTTTATGGAGTTCGGATGTGGGAGAATCGAAAGTTGGTAAATTGTATACACCGTGGGAAGACTGCAACTAAACTATATATATATATATAAACTATATATATCGCTTTTTTGACTACCTACAAGATAGTTAAAATTCAGCAGCCTGTATATAATCAGGCACTATCCAATGAGATATTCAGTAGTTTACCAGAAATTTAAAAAGCTTTACTACCAAGCCATTGATTGACGCTAATCTTATTATCCTCAGTGTATTTTGCGTCCTCAATTTATTTCAAAATCAATATTAACCGAAGACTCGCTGAAGTGAGGGCTTATAAATAAACTGACCGACGATCTTGCGCTTATATCAGCTTTACAGTTGCTGTTGATTGCCGTGTGGCTAAGTCTGCGCGCGGATAATCGGAACCTTGGAAGTGAGTGTTATATTGCAGAACGTTTTTACGAATCCCCAGATGATTCGCCATTATCCCAAGTTGTACGCCCTACCATCCTGTTTGATCTCACAAAGGGTAACACCGCTGGCTAAAGCATTTGTCACGCATCGCTTCACCAATAGCTTGTTCACATCAGCTGGGGGGGGGCGGATACATATTCATCTAAACTTATCATTCCCACGAATCAAAGTTCACATCGATGACCTATGGGATCAACGCAACTGGCTGACAAAAGTTTATAGACTACAAATACGCGCTTCACACAATGTTCGTTTGCTGATTGTGGGTTGGCAGTTTCATAAAATGGTTGTGCACTTAGTTGTTTTTGTCAAATGACCGTGTTAGTATCACGCAATATATAGCCGTTCTGTTCAGAAGTGACTCTAAGAGGCCGCAAACGCTTGAATGTTTAAAGCTGAGCGTTGAGCATGCTTGAACACATACTTTGTATGATCAGGTAAGGTATTTTAACTTTCCGGATCACAAACTCTTTCTTGTTTGATAACCTTGTGTTCCAGGTGTACAGAAAGATCTTGAGAATGGTAGCGAATTTTCTTTGCGGAACCCACTGCTGAGCATCAGTAGTGAGGTGATTGTCGCAAAAATAGATACACATTGTATAGTGAAGAATTCAGAACTTCACTGAAGCACCATAGTAGCAAAATGCAAATGTGCCAGCCGGTGGTTAATCAAATAACCTCTAAGGATCATTAAAGAACAAGGGTTATTCTCACTTCTCTCTTTAACATACCGCAAGGAAAGTCAAACTGGTGCCGTAGAACGGTTGGACATGAACGGGAGTTGATTTCGCTTAGTTGTGATTCGCGGTCTTTGACAGCACTCTTCACTGATGAAGTAAGCTCGAAAATGGAACATTATGACTCGGTGTCGTACATGATAGAATTGCAGTCTGCGCGTACGGGAACTCTGAATCCATTCCCTCTAAGTGAAGAACTCGGAGTTGTGCGTGAGCTGGAGGGAGACAGGCAATTCTCACTCGGGGTCTTTTCATGAGGTACCAAGGCGTAGACAGAGGAGTGTACAGCAGGTTTTACAAACGTTTGATTTTGATCCGAGTTGTCGTAAAGTCTTTCAGTGCTCGAACGGAAACTTTGAAGAATGATAAGAAGTGGAACGCTTGTAGGCTTTAAATATAACACCTGATTGATACACTCGGCAAGCAATTGTGTCCTTTAAAATATAAAACTAAGACGTCCGAGGCATTTTAAGCCTGCAATTGTGCACATAGCAAATAGAATAAGCTTGGAGACTTGTCTTTCCATGGTAGAAAATTAACCAGGCTTAAAGGCTTGTGTAGTTTGACTATAAACGCAATATCCATTTAAATTCAGCATAATTTTCAATTCACTTACTCTGCATGATTCACGTGTTCGTAATGTGTTTTGATGGTGTTGGTGGAGTAAAAATTGGCACCAGTAATGGGCAAGTCAATTTTCAGCTCAAAGAAGGGGTGGCCAAAATGTGGATTACAGTTCGCCAACCTGGAAATACTTAGGTGGCTATATGGAGGAATCACCGAAGTTGACGGGAGCTGCGATGATGTGGTAACTGGGTAGGACCCATATCCATGGAAGGGATTTGAATATATTAGGGCGTGTCTAATAACGACCTCGTTGTATTCTAGCGTCTCGTAAATCCCGGAAACTGGATCTGGTTTATTGGCTGTGTGTCTCTCCGTATACTTGTTTTTGACGTGAGTTTTGATGCTGTGAGTTGTCCCAGGAGAACGAACCTTCGTTGAATAACGCGTCTTTTCTCTGCCATTCATTGACGCCGGCTTGTAATCTCCCTTGTCATGTGGATCTAGCAGTGGGATAAAATACTGAAATAAGAGGCACTATTTACGGGAATACAACTCCACTTATTTTATGGTTGCCATGCAATGAGCACCGGTCGACTTAATCGCAATTCTGTGGTCCATACAAGCGCTCTTTTGCGCTTGCAAAAAACCATGAATTTAGAACTTCAAATTAAATAAGCCACTTATTTTGTCAAACGTCTGTAAATTTATTGCTGGACAACGGTTGAAACAGCTTTTGATACAACGCATCTTAGGCCAGGTTGATCAAGCATTAAAATAAGGGGTTCATTCCTGGGTAACATTTCCTACGACTACCCGACTTTCATACTCCTGAATTCCAGTCAGAAATTCTTGCCTGGTAATTACCGTGGATGAATAAAAACAAATGTTTTAGGAGGAGGTATTAACGATTAGAATCAGGATATTTCGTCTTCGACAGAATAATCTTCTTGGGTGTCGATCACAGGTTTTGCTGGTCTGTGCGTGTCAGAACATGCCAGCATAATTAAGTTAGAATTTAGCAGATGAAATAGATGACCGCATGCCGCCAAGTGACACTTCGGTTAATCCAAAGCCCCCCACGTGCCAGAAGTGAGTCGTTTGTTCTCTCCACATTAAGACGCATGGCAATTTCAAAACATCAGCTTGGTGGAACATACCTCAGTTAGGGAGCGTAAAAGCTACTTTCATTACAAGTAAACGAGTAAGTTCATGAAGTTTATTGGTCTACTGTGACGGGTAAATCCGTGGATAAACCAGTTTTAACACAGATGATGCTTTATTACTTCCACTTGATGCACAATCAGCCCTTTACCGTACTTCTGCAATTTCTGATTTTATAACAGTCAGCTGTGTATGACTTTCCTAATGTTCAGACATTATTGTATGATTTGTTGATGGCATTGCAGCGTAAAAATGTGTCAAAACGACACAAAATAAATGAGGTATTTTCTAAATTTTGATTAGAAGGCACAAAATATGTGTTGTTTTACCTAAATATCTACGCATTTTTAATAAAACTGACATGATATCTGGTTGGTGTTTAGTGTAATGTAATATGATCTTTTGGATTCTCAGGAAAAGTTAGGCCTTACTTTATCGAACTGAAGTGTGATATATTCCTTCTTTCCTACAACAAAAACGTCAAATGCCAGGAAATAAATAATGTAAGCTGTGGTGAGGGACCATCATCGTAAAGCAGTTGCCAAAGAACAAACACTTACTCAAAGCACAGAAAGGATTGATATGCCAGTACTTGGCTGAACATTTTTGAATTTTTGTTCTGGCAGCGAGTACCACAAACAATACAAGAAGTACGACCGTAACCGCTGAGAGAAGGGTGGCGCATAACGTAGCTTCTTGTGCGTGCATCCAACCGTAGTGTGTCTGAGGTTCGCTGATCTTCCTTTCGACGGGCTCTATTCGGATAAAACAATTAAAACACAGAGACTGGATAGATAATGTAACATTATCAACCACACCTAACTCAAACATGAGTTTAGATAACATAAACGCTAGCCGAGCAGAGAGGAACTCTAACCGACCGGCGGGTATTCGCACAAACGGAATACCATGACATACGGGCCTCGAGTAAACTGGGCATAGAAAATAAACTGATTTCTTGCCACTTCGCTATAGTACAATACGCAAGGCATACGTCCACATAGATTATTCTGCACTTAACACTGAAACTCACCTAGAACTTTAACTATAGCATGTGCATAGCGAAACTCCAGTCGAAGTAAATCAGCCACGCAAGTGTAGTTGCCACTATCCGAATTCTTGATGTCTCCAATAGTCAGCTTATTTGCATCGTCGATTTGAATTTGCGGAAAAAGTAGAAGACTGATTCTTATTCCGTCTTTTATCCAGTACACCTACAAAGAATGTTATGAGCTTGTTTGCTTCATAAGTTCTGATTATATACATGGAGACCAACAAAATCGTCTTAAACAATATGGTCACACGGTTGTCTTTATTAACTTCTATTATGAGCACATCTAGAATGAGCTCATGAGCACTCTAAATTAATTAAACCCAGTGGTAAAGAAGATCTGGTTGATGAATCCGGAAAAAGTCATTTTAAAAAAGTTCGAGCTTTAATTGAAAGAAAACCGAATTTTCCGCAACATAATCAGCTTGGTAGCAAAAAGCAGCAAGCTACATGCGGCTTGTTGAACTTATCTAATACTGACTTTTCCTAAATCTGAAAAGGGAAACGGTAAAACTTTTAGGGACAAACCCTACGAACAGTAAGGTTGATTTGAGGTACTTTATTCGAATGACCTGTTCAGACGAACATGATTCATTTATTTATTGGTCGCCCTCAGAATTAAGTCAATGTTGACTGTCATACTAAACTGTAATACAGGGCCACTGGCTATCTTCAATATCGCAAGTAATTTACAGCATGTGTACGACGTACCGTTTTTACAGTCCAAATTAATCTTCTATACAAAAGGGTCCATCTAAAAACCTTCCCTTTTTTGGTGGACATTTTCAAAGTAAAAATTACACACTTTAATTATATGTGAGTTGATTGCACACAAGGGGTCCATACTCGTGAGTGAAGCTTGTAGTGTTGCAAAAACCACGACGCCTTTCAGTCGATATCAACTTTCGAATTTGCGTCCTATGAAAGACTAGGTTCCCTTCACCTCCGTGTGTTCGTTCTTCAACCGACTGTTGTCAAACCGGTAAGTATGAGGAGATTTAGCTGTAAATTTTCCACAAAACCTTTATCTCTCTTTCAAAATTATTTAATCGAATGAAGAAGGCGCTGATTACTAGAGTCGGTGTTTGGTACCGCGTTAATGACGATTGACATTCGGCCACGGAAGCTATCCATGATCATTTACAAGATTCCACGAGTTGCGGAAGTGCATTCATGCACCATTTTATGTGGTTTGTTCACTCTTTTGGAATCAGCAAAAAGCGAGGGATCTGAAACATCAGCCAGTGGGTCGACGGAAAATTGTTACACGAGACTTCTTGCAAGCATCAAAATGGTTTATTCTGTGGTTCATATTCTTACCTCTGGCTCTGGCCGACCTTCAGGAGGAGAGCAAACCATTTCTAAACGCTGTCCAAGCATTATTGTGGTCGAAATAGGCCTCAACTTGAAGTTTCTTTTCAAATCTATGAGACAAAGTGCGAGAAGTTGTAGTGTTGTTTAATACATGTATAGTGTCAACTTACCCCAAAATCCAGAGTTGCATCAAGGTCATGAGTCTATATAAACGTATAGATGTACATAAATTCTGATCACCGAAGTCTTTCAAGGACAAATATTCCTTAAAGTGAATTATGGTTTGATGGTGACAGAACACTATTTAGGTTACTTGAAACAAATGATGAAAATTGGCTTTTCAAAATAACTTGTTTGCGGCAAGCCGAATAGGGTTCAAAATGGGTCCCTCCCGAAATTCAACCCTCTGTACAGTCTTCTAGTAAGTTTTAGAGAGTGTGGCTACTTGCTTAAAATATGCAGGCATGCTTTTTAAACGAGATGGTCGCAATTTTTTTAAAACAAGTGAAAATCAAAGGGAAACAAATGAAAGTTTCCACTGCCACCTCCATCACTTGTTCTTGCGCAACTTGTGGAGCGTTCGTTTCAGTAGGGCCGTACGTGCCATTAACAACAGCACCCATTGATACACCTACAGTTTGCATTCAACTTGTGCCTAGTTAATTTTCTCCTATTTTCGACCTGGTGTCTGCAAACCACTGTCATCCACAAGTCAATAAGACCGTCCAATACGTGTGGGATGTGCCTAACTAACCATGCATAACTGAACGTCTCCGGGAAACATTTATATGTTTCTATATAAGTGACGTTGGTAGAACGCTAAAACCTAAAGGAATCTAAGCGGAGAGGTCGGTAGCTGGCGCAGATGCTGGTGCCATCATGTTTAGGTCGGCTAATCACTTGCAATAGGTCACCGCAGTTTCTTCTTTTTCACCGATTTTACCTCTTTACTACGGAAAGCTTTGCTTGCAGCGGCCTGGCTCAAACCATCCTTTTTTCCTATGGCATGCTCAGGTCTCAAGTGCATTGGCCAGTGTTGGCTGATGCGATTCAGATTCCTGCCTTGCTTATGTACTCACGCATTCCAGTGCTCCTCGGAAGCTGGTTGAAATTTTCGCTAAACGTTTGCTGATCTAGATTTCACAAACTTTCTTATGCTTGAATTCCACTATCAGTACGGCCAGTTTAGAACGTAAACGACTTTAAGCCAAAGGGTTGCACAACATCTCTTAGCCTAGTCAATAGCTGCAAACACCCGAATACGCTTAAAATCAGTAATTTTCTGCACTATCTGAGTTAGTACTGATGAGAAATGTGAAACGCTTACAAAGGGCAGCTGATTTGTTTGTGACACATTAACTGGTTAACACACATGCTGTATATGATGAGAACAAATTGATCACCGTCAAAGTTAATGTACACAGGGGATCTGAAGACATTTCATGATAGTAAATCATTGATAACCAACGTTCTAAACAGCAGTTATTTGATTCCAAATGCCTAGTAAATAGCTCTGAGTGTCATGGCTTCACTACTACAACACACGTCATGGTGTTGAAAATCACATATCCCTTACGCAACGATTACTTGAAATTCGTTTCTACCTTTTCGCCATGAGATAGCCTTGGTTGTAAAATTGCAACTGAACCGAGCGACCAGCAGAGCTGCATTAACCCGGCTTGAAAATGTCGATTGAGGTGTATGTTTTTGTGCCCCAAACATGCAATTATCTGCTTAATTAAAAACAGGAAGGATGTCACCTCTCAGTTGATTTACTTAGACTTTTTTCAGACACCCAACTTTTTAAAAGTTTACAAAATCCAGTAAGAACTCCTAACACACATTCAATAAAATCTCGTACACTCCTGATTTTCACAAAAATGGTTACAAATTGCGCAAAAATTTCAGAAGATACTTGGAAGTGTGTCCTATATCAACTGACTGTTTGCACTTTGACGCAAGCCCCAAAAGTAGTCTGTCTTCAGCCAATCCTTAACTTCTGCACACTGAAATCTACTGGGATGAAGTCTGAGAAATATATTATTGATTTCATTTTTATTAGTTCACCCGAGTTATCTTACGTACACCTTCCAACATTGTACGCTTCCCAGGTTAGCAGCCCTAAAACCATCTTCGTTTTCATTTCTCAAGTCTCCACTTTTCACAACAGCCTAGTCCTTTGCCGCCGCATTCTGCTATTGATGTTTCAGTCGTTGTACCCGAAAAAACGATGGACATCCTTAGGATTCCACCCATCCATCATCCAAGTCTCATTATGTTCACGTGTCTGGTCTTTTACTCTATTTCTTGAGGAAAAAACGGAATGATGAAGCTTTGAACGCCTACAGACCCTTTCAATGAAGGATAGTACATAACGGGTCAATACTATTTAGCGCAGAATCGCTCCGTATAATTTTACCTGGTCAAATCTGATCACACTTCGAGAAACGGTAACCAAATTATAATGAATTTCAATTATCATCACTATCAGAATCGTTCATCAGACAAACAGGCAGCATTTGCACCGAAAACCTCACCTCAACATGGTTTATTCGTCTGCGCAACTTAGCTGGATCTTGTTCAATGTAAAAATATCAGGGAATTGTCACCCATGGTGTTGTCACGTGCTGACGAAATGCGGAAAAATTCATTTCCCAGTACATATCCTGTTTTACCGTTCGAAAAATATCTGAGTGTAACTTCTTTAAATCACTCAAACTTAAGACGGGGGTCTTTATATCAGTGAACTCATACTTTGACTAGTGAGGTTAGCTATTCAAATACAGAGAAGCGTTTTGCAGAGGTAAACTACAAGAGGGTACTAAAAACTCCAAGTTTAAAATTGTCATTTGAACAAGCAGACGCTCGCATACCGAGGTTGCCGTTTACAACAACCGATGATCTACTGAGGTGCGATTCCCTATGAGTTAGATGTATTAGAAAGAGTTGATATGTGGGATACCATATGTTCTTAAGGAATTATGGGTTCCGTCAAGAATTTCAACCGCAGGACTTACATGCCTCCGTGATGACTGCCGTTTGGCTTACAATTTTCTTTGGTCTTTTCAGAAACGGTACTCCATTCCACACCTCAAAATGACAAGCATACGAGTCAAACCACTCCTCCACTTCCTTAGCGTGTATTTGTATCTCGATACGCCATCGCAATCCGTCGGGATCAGGGCGATTTGCTGAGTTCAATCGTGTTACCTTCAACCTTCCAGACGCATCCGGTCCTCCATACGGAATCAGCTGCTCGGCACATTCTACTACCACATACGAAACGGGTTCGGCGACGCAGTCCACAATGGCCGGATGATTTTTCATAGTGTAATATAGTGGTTTTGGTTGCCTAATAATTCGCGGCACCCCTTCCAGATGAGTTTCGTTAGGTGTTATTAGGTCCTCATAATTATTGGCTGTCGCGATCCGTAGTGGTAATAACAACAGGCACACCATGCACGCTTTCCTAAAGTAAATCCACATGAAGTTATTTGTGACTGGACATTTTATTCTACAGTTCAAACCGTTTTATGACGCACGGTTTGTGTGTGCGATTGGTCACAATGTCGACCAACCAGCTATCAGCCATCCATGGAGCAAAGTCGACCAATGGCAACTTGAGAAAAGTTTCTGTTATTCCTGGTAGTAATTAGGTTCTGTGGGCAGAATGTTCATTATTCCCCAACCCTTCCCATGAGCTACGAATTCAAAAAAATGTGTGCGTGTCATTCACATGATCTTGTTTTTTTTCACTTTAACCTTGTGACATTTACTGACACCAGTAAATATTTTGAGGGAGCTTGACAATAAAAACACGCTGAGAAAAACGACACAGCTGATTTCATACCTTTTGACTGCACTGGATATAGCCAAAACCGAATGTAGGGTAACGACAGAGAGTGGCCACCACTTATATTACATTTTGCTTGCAAATTGTGGTGGTACTATGACGCTCATTGCTGACGAGAATAACGGACTTTCCAACCATAAAATATAAGCCTTTAATGAGACAAAAATACCCAGTTGCTCAAGCTTTTCTGGATCTGGCCATATATTTACCATGGATGTACTACATTTGGCAGAGAATGTGCGCACATAACGTGCAATGCATCAGCAATGCTGGCCACAAAAGACAGTATAAATGAAAAAAATAAGCCTTCCGCACCTATTTGGTCTTAACAAGAGACTCAGCTGGATACAGCTGGCTATCCGATCATGGTGTTCTTTAAGCTAATGTGTTATACAAGGCCAATTTATGTTTCATTTGGTACGTTATTCCAGATGTTCCTATAAATTTTCTGGAAGCAAAAATAGTCATTAGATGTGGAAAAGCTTTTCGACAGCCGCAACCGGTTGTGCCTTTCTTTGGGCTCAACAGCTAGGCGCAGTCCACGAGTTTTTATCAGGCTTATGTTTTTTGGGCGCCTCTTCCGATTGCGCAATTAAGATGAAGTAAAGCACTATGTGCTAGGAGTTCAGTTTGGTTCGGTTGAGTCTCCTGTTAAAACCAGATTGTTCTGCAAATGAGTGCCTTTCGTGAATCGTGTAAAGTAAGAAATAATGTTCATGTACCTCGGTAAGTATGTTCAGCTGATGAGCCCCGAGGAGGCGGGACCGGTCGTAGGCCGGCGAAGAATTTCCACCACCTCTATGAGTATTGTGTTACATCGAGAATCGGATTCGATTTTATAAGCTTCGTTCCCTAACGCACTTAAAAGCTTATAAAACTAGCGACCTGTTCAAGCCAAAGTGTCCATGAAAAATGTAATTTGTTGGTGTCACGATGAGGACCAGAGATGAGCACGCAGCGCGGGTATCAAGCACCAGATATGTTTGCGCCCCAGAGTCCACAAAACATGTTTGTACTTGGTAGTTCAGCTTGAACGCCACTTTGTTGTGAGGGAAGGAAGAAAACAATGTGGAACGTCGAAAACTCGTCATTGTCACTGCACTTGTTAATGCACATCCAAACTAGAACTTAATGATCACCGTGCGTTAAAAGTCCATAGCACCAATGGGGACGCTTATACACTGGATAGCAACCACCTTCCCGTTGTTTGTCTCATCAGTTTTTCTGTAGCTATAGTGATCCAATAGCTCCAACCGGTTTTGGAGCATCAAAGGGAAACAATCCGCCTCATCAGTTTACAAAGAATTATGTCGTATGAGGAGAATTTGCCAGTATCGTAATGACTACAAGTGAAGCTGGTGTGCTATGAGGAATATTATTAGGAGGAAATGATTTAAAAATTGTAACCTCAGTGAGGTAAGTAATGGGCTTTTAAACCATTGATCGCACACCTATTTTACTTGACACGTGTACACCTGGACCCGCTCCGACCGTTGTGATTTTTTTCCAGCCTTTTTTAAGATAGCATGTTCAAAAGCACTCAAATTTTGCTGCTCTTAGTTACTCATGTCAAGTTGTCAGGTTGATTTTATTTCAATGGTGCCGTTTGAGCTTTTAAGAATCATCAGCAGTCCATATCTCATAAACCTCGAGGGTGTTTAAAACCTGTGACCTCCAGACTGATAGTCTCCATTTATTCATTTCCATATAGTCCTTATATACAAACGCTTACATGGTAGAGATCACCTAGCGACAAAAAACCCATGCAACGAAAAACGGGTTTTCATATTTCAGAAATTCTCAAAATCTAAACTGGGAACTCCTTTCAACCAACACTTCTGATACAACATTTTCACTACGATACTTTCAATACATGGTAGACAGAACAATAAGTAACACAGAGTGTTGTGTGCTTCAGGTTTTTTCTTTCCCTTTGAAAGAGGTAGGTAAAATAATTTTGGACATTACACAGCCTAGAAAGCCTACATTTCGCTGAAAATAAGGGTCCGTAGGATTTATCCGCCATTATTGGTTGTTTGGTTTGACACAAGTGATTAAACGAGAAAAACATGTTTCACATAAATTCAATAAATAATGGATCGCATTTACCTGGTGCAATATTTCACATCTTTTAAATGGGTTTTCAAATGATTGATAGCCAGAATCTGTAGGGAGAACACATATGCACGAATAACCTTGTTGGTTATCCCTGAAACTGAACGTGACCAAAGGAATCAAATTTTCTTTTTGAGTGAGATGAACTAATGGCAAAAGCATCAACTATGTAAAGAAGTGACGACACTTGGGACTCCAAAATATTCTGTGTCCCCAAACGGTCTACAGAGTTTGCGAAAATAAATCAATCCTTGGTGTCGGCAAACACTATGCCTAAGCTTACCTTTATGAAGCGATGATATCCACATATAACTTACATGTTAAGTGGGATGGTCAAACACTCTCGGCATGAGTGTTCATCAGCAAGATTGTTTGATCGTTTACAAGTCCAAAACATTACTGGATAGCCAGAATGAAGATAGGACTTTGGTAAAGGATGCAGTGGTCTAAATCAGTGAGAAATCGCCAATTAACGGATAGAGTTTTTGTATTGAGGGTCCTATTGAGAAACGTGTTGGATAGAATTTTCCACACTGCGTCTTATAAGCTGAGTCGCTAACTACAGATGTCTAGGTGTGATTATTGTGGTTATATGAGACCACCGGGTTAAGCTATCCTGGTTGACTGGTCAAAAGACATCACAGTAACATGGAATAGCGCCACAGGTTTTACTTCAGTAAGATGTCGCATTGCGATCTCAAGTGGTCTAATTCGTGACTGTTCCGTGAAAACTATGAAAGTCGTAACTGGCAACATGTCAACTTTTCTTCTGCCCTCGTTGGTGGTTCACATTTATAGGTATGAAAAACGCACAGACTTTCAGAGAAAAATGGATTATTCGGAATCTACTGCCAAGGTAAACAGTTATTCTAGGTCAATCAATTTTGCACACTTTCACAAAGCAAGCAGCAATGCCCTGCCGATTGCTAGGATCCCGGTGGTTTAGATTGCGCATCAAAATAGCCAGAATATTTCTGAGCTCAACTGAGTGACCCACAACAAGCAGCTATTTCGCACTTAATCATACTGGGTTTGGGGGTAGATTGACCACAAGATGACTGTTGTCCCATAGAGTGCATCAGAATCTTTGATTAGTAATATGGGTTTCTCTGAGGGAGACGGAGGTATGCTCTTCTACTGTAACCATTACCGCAAATACAGGTGAACAGATAAATGAAAGGAATTGTAGAAAGTCTGCCCCATTAATGTTACTAGTTTGGAGTCTCTGAGCCAAAAGGGACTGACTAAACCATAGTTGCGCTGTTAGATACTTACAACTAGGAATGACTTTTGGCACTTGTACGATGCCTGCTAATATATAGCCTCCTTTTTCCTCTTTTTAATGTTTCACCGAAGCTTGAAAGAAATATAGAAATGGTCTAAGCCATGAAGCGTCCAGTTAACTGGTTTACAGTCAATGCTCAGCAGCATAGAAAGAGAGCGACAAAGCGCTTAAGCAAAATACTCACAGCTGTAGTAATCCACTCATCACTTTCAGATTATTCGTGCACCTCAGAACTCAAAGAAGTACCGAAGATGCTCACATGCATCTTTCCAAGCATCACTTGCGTACTGAAATGTTTCAGCTAGTCAGCGAATCGAATGCGCTTATTAGGCCCAATGTTTTACGAAGCCGTTATTGCAGTGTTAACTTACTCCTCTCGAAAACGACTGGAAGGGTTCGGCTTTTCGGAGTTTGATTAGTGAGATCGGGACATATGTGACTCCACGAAAATGATCGGTAGATACTCTGTGCCCTTGCTTAAAAAACATTCAATAACGAAAAAACTGGTTAGGAGAAAAGCACGTAAACCTTGTCAGCATGGCGATTCAAGTTTACATCATCAAAATTTAACTTTGGTTACATTCGCTTCGAGAAATTAGAAATTCGTGTGCATGGACAGAAAAGTTTCTAAAGCGCAGACGACTCAATTGGACTCCAGTCTTTCTTGTGTCAAAAGAGTTCCGCTTATTTGACGTCGCAAAATTGTGTATTCGTTAGCATGCAAAGGGAATTCGATGAAAGCTCCATACAAGCAAACGAACTGATGAGAGGGCCTTCAAACTTGTCAAGTCATTTCTGACTCGTTTGGCCTGTCCCGAAAGAAATTAAAAAAACGTGAAAAACTTTTGATCAATTCAAGCAGAATTTTCGCATATATTCGTTTCTAGTAGGGAGGCATGATTAGATATACTATTCATGCTAACAAAAAATTCCTTCGTACAGCAGATGCAGGTATATCGGTTTCAGGTACTCAATGTTTGTGGTATCTTACGTCGGATGTGTTTTGTCCATCTAGCCAAAGTTCACCCCTGAGCTTGAGACGGTCATTTGTCACTATCACATAATTTTACAAACGCCTCCAGACAATTTTGAAGATAGCATTTGGATGCTCCAGTGTGTCGTTAGATGAACTAATACAGGAAACGACATTTGGTGATTGTAAAAGTGAAAGTGATTTGATCGTGAATGTAGATGCAAAGCGATTACCTTGCGGGTGACTCACAAATACGTTTGCGTGAATCTGCAAGTTGAAGTGGCACGATATTCGATTTTAGAAATTGTTCAATGGTTAGAATTATTGTCTCACTACAAATTAAAGACAGTGAACCAGAGTCAGAAGGGTACAGGAAACCATTAGATACTGCAGAATGCTAGTTAGTTTAAAAAAAGCATTTTAAATAATAGAAACTACGGAATGCAAAGGCATTCCACAGTACTGGCCACTTGAAGTATGTCAATACATAAATTGACCTCGTAAATTTTTCATTTGGCTGTAGGATACAAGAGATAAACTTCGCTGTAGTCAATGCGGTAGCTCAGGTTTTGGCGTTGGCCGTTAGATCTCGTGCTGAGCTGAACCGTTTGGTTGTAAACGTATCCAGTCAGTTCCAACTTCCAGCACCTTCAATTTTAACGCACTTCCACTCACAACGCACTTGTGTAATTACCCCACCTGACGACGGATATTTTGCTACCAAATTGTCCAGCTTAGAGGAAAAATCAACGACCAATTTCATGATGAATGAGAGTGAAAGCTCCAAAAACAGCACTATTCATAATGTTGTAGAAAACGCTAAGGCTGCCCATGAATGGTTTCGCTCATATTGGGACTTATCAGTTTCCGTCAACCTTATGTTTACTTGACTGGACAGTGAACCAGAGTCAGAAGGGTACAGGAAACCATTAGATACTGCAGAATGCTAGTTAGTTTAAAAAAAGCATTTTAAATAATAGAAACTACGGAATGCAAAGGCATTCCACAGTACTGGCCACTTGAAGTATGTCAATACATAAATTGACCTCGTAAATTTTTCATTTGGCTGTAGGATACAAGAGATAAACTTCGCTGTAGTCAATGCGGTAGCTCAGGTTTTGGCGTTGGCCGTTAGATCTCGTGCTGAGCTGAACCGTTTGGTTGTAAACGTATCCAGTCAGTTCCAACTTCCAGCACCTTCAATTTTAACGCACTTCCACTCACAACGCACTTGTGTAATTACCCCACCTGACGACGGATATTTTGCTACCAAATTGTCCAGCTTAGAGGAAAAATCAACGACCAATTTCATGATGAATGAGAGTGAAAGCTCCAAAAACAGCACTATTCATAATGTTGTAGAAAACGCTAAGGCTGCCCATGAATGGTTTCGCTCATATTGGGACTTATCAGTTTCCGTCAACCTTATGTTCTACTTGACTGCAAATCGGATATATTCCGACAAACGCTCTCACTCTAAAGCTTTGGTTGTTGAGAGAATGGGTATATGTGGTCCTTAGGAGTAAAAGTAGGATTCTAGATGTGTTCATTGTAGTGCAACTGGTGTTCAAGTTGGAACAGATGACATAGGACTCAACCGATAATTTTTGTGCCTTTGCATGAGTAAGCAGGAACTCATGTAGAATTCGGTCTCAATGAAAGCTCAGATGTACGTCTCAAGTAACGTGAATGTGTGGGTTTCGTCGTATAAACATTGCGCTTTATGTATATATATGAAAATAATCCCAAATTTTATGGGGAACTTTAAGGTAACTTTTATTTGAGGCAAGCAAAGAAAAGATGCATTTATTCAGCAGATCGAGAACGGCACCGTAGAACACCACGATATAAACCTTGTGGGATTGTGATGCCTACTGTTAATTTATTGTACTACTGAAAAACAATTAGAGTAGCCAAAACTCTCGTCGGCCACACCAACAGCCACGGCATTCACTGAACACGCCGCCAGTGATAAAAGGTGCTATCCCCAATGAAATCATAAACGCTTGGAAAAAAGAATGTGCACACAACCATGTGTACATGGTTGTACATCGTGTTGTGTGCACATTGCATACATGTACACAGCAATGTGTGCACAACCGCCAACCTACCGCTACGCACTGCTACGCTCCACAATAACGCACTGATGATGTCACCCCGATTGGTGATGAAACGTTTGCAATCAAATTGCCCAGCTCAGCGAACTAGCCAACGACCACCAAAAAGGAATGTTTTCGCAAGTCGATGGCAACTCCACCTCCACTTATGGCCACCGAACAATATCGTGCCTTGGTTTGAACTCCGGACATCTGACAAGATATGTGAGCGTGCTAACACTAACCTGCCCGGGACCGGCCAGGTGCGTCTGATCTTTACTGCAAACAATCGTCGTTAAACACCGTTGGTGACTACTGACTGGTGAACATCATACTTAGTCGCTGGAAATCTAAGTTTTATTAACCGGACCATGAATCACAGTATCTGTCCTGGAACGGCCTCCACCTAGTTGTAAAATTACCTTCTAGGTTCGTGGTTAAGTTGCGGCCAAAAAAGAAAGCGTCTTGTTGATTGCTTTGCTGGACTTCATGAATTCTAATCTCATAGCTCACCATCTCAGAACATTTGGCTTCATAAGGCTTCATAAGAATGCATAAGATGGCTGGGAAATATTGTAACTTCATTTATAGACTTTGTTTCCGAAACAAATAAAAACCAAGGGTACTTTCCGATGAAAAATAATTATTGAATATCACAAGACTTACACATAGTTGTGAATAAGAAATCGAGGTTCC